AGCCTCTTCGGGACTAAAACGTAGAACTCACATATGTTCTTTACCTTCATTGAACTAATATTAAATATGTAAAATGAAAAACCTTTCATGGACTATAGTTGTTTTCCAAGATAATCGATCATCAGAGCAAAAGCCTCTTTTATGTTTTTCTGCCTTTACAACAGAATGTTTATTTCTTTTTTTTTCAGACGCCCTAGTGTTTTTTTGTTTCGCATTGCGGCTATGCTCTCGTTTTGTTTTTCTTAATTTAACATTATTATCGTTCTAGTCATTGATTTAATTGACTAAAAAAAATTTGTAAATATCTATTATATTTACACAAAGTATCAACAGACTATGATATATATCTTGATCAGCTCACAAACACTGATGTTGTTTATTTTTGAAAGTTAAGGTGTGGGTGTGGATATCTTTTCATCAACCACATCCACACCCCACCCACCCACACCCTAATTCAATGTGTATAAGCAGAAATTAAACAAGAATTTTAGAATTCTAAAGTATACTTTGAATTTTGAAGAAGCTCATCTTCAGCTTGAGAGTGTGTGGGTGTGTGCGAGTTAAAGCAAAATGCACACACTCACACCGACACCTACACCCCGCACCCACACCCCGCACCCACACCCTAAACTCGAATTTCTTTATTCTTATTTTTATAATAAACTGAAAAAAAAATGCTAGAATGTGAACAAATCATTTTCTGAATTATTTTAAAAAGAAGCGGGACACACAAGATTTTGTTCTGCACAAATATCATTTATGTTTTTAGTTATACAAATCATTGTCATCATTGTCTCGACCATGACCGTTGCCTAGAAAAACAAAAATTTAAGAAATGAAGGATTGCAATCATATTTATTTATATTCACCACTTCCACCTTGTGAAGGTTGTTCTTGATGAGGAAAACGAAGTTGCGTACACAAGACTTGTGGTTGTTGTAATATTTGAGCAAAAAATATTTCATATTTACGTAGATCATTATCACTAACCGATCGTCGTGTGAGTTTCATCACTGCTTCAAAATGTTCTCGACAGATTTCTGGTTTCAGATCAGACTGATCCCAGTTCCTGACCATTCGAACATGGGACTGTCGTTTTTTTTTCGCGATTGATTCACGTATAGCAAATCTACCAGCACGTCGACTAATTTCATGTAAGTCAGCACCACTAAAACCAGCTGTAGTTTTGGCCAAAGAATTCAGATCGACATTTTTGGCTACCCGAGAATTGCGCAGTGCAGCCTTCAAAATTGCTACACGGGACGTTTCATCTGGCATTGGAATGTAGATCAATTGATTGAAACGACCTAGAAAACCAGAATCATTTCGTCAACATTGACGACAAGCAGCGAAAACTCACCAGGTCGAAGAATAGCTGAATCGATCAAATCCGGTCGGTTGGTCGCACCAATAATAAATACGTCTTCTATGGAATCAATCCTGTCCATTTCACTCATAAGATGGTAGATCATACTATCAGTTGTATCATCACCACGAGCTTTTGCTAAATAAATTTATATAAACAAGTATTATTAACTAATTATCGATGTTTTCAATCTTACTGATTGCATCCAGATCGTCAAAAAAGAGCACACAGGGTGCTGCTTGACGGGCCTTCTCAAACACATCGCTTATACTAGTCTCGAATCCACTAAACCGCATTTTCAACAGATGTGAACCTGTGATCAAGATTAGATTGACTCTAGCCTCATTGACAATAGCTTTCACCAATATTGTTTTACCTGAAAATGCGACAGTAAGATGAATACATTAAATAGCAAACAGTATTACGCACAACTTACCACAACCGGGTGGTCCAATCAAGAGCACAGCGCGCAAAGGTGTCACACCTACTTCAAAGAATTCTTGCGCATATTCAAGTGGATTAGAAATAAATTCTAGCAGTTCGTGCTTGGCATCTTCCAAACCACCAATATCTTCTAAATGAACGGTCGACTTTTCAACGAACGCTTCACGCAGTGTACCTGGCTTGATGTTATTAAGTGCAAAACGGAAATTATCTTGTGTAACAGCTAATGAATCAAGTATTTCAGCATCAATTGTATCGTCTTCTAAATCAATAACATCCATTTTTTCACGAATTTGTTGTAATGCTGCTTCTGAACATAATGATGCTAAATCAGCACCAACATAACCATGTGTTTCATTACCAATTTGTACAAGATCAACATTGTCTCCTAATTTCATATTTTTTGTATGTATACGAAGAATTTCTAAACGACCAATAGCATCTGGTATACTAATATCAACTTCACGATCAAAACGACCAAAACGACGAAGTGCTGGATCAATTGAATTCGGTCGATTAGTTGCTGCCATAACAATAACATCTGAACGTTGTTTAAGACCGTCCATTAATGTTGATAATTGTGAAACAATACGACGTTCAACTTCAGCATGAGTTTTTTCACGTTTTGGTGCAATAGCATCAAGTTCATCAATGAAAACAATAGCTGGAGAATTCTAAATAAGTAAAAGTAAATTTTTATAATCAAATAGAATAATTTCAATAATAATTTAGAAATATGTAGTTTTGTAGAGCAACTCATAATGCATCGAATGTGTTTAAGGTTCTTAGAAACACCATATACCAATTAAGGAATATCATAGCAATTGTAGATAATATGACTAAATATGAAGACTCTGTATGTTTCTAAACCAACCTATATCAAATTTCATTTAATATAACTTCGATAGAGTTTTGTCTCATTTTCAATCGTATATATCTAATAATACTCATAATAGCTTTCTTCTTCTATCTATTAATAATAAGTTCATCATACTATATCATTTGAGATATATGGATGTTTCGAAAGTGGCGAAAGAAATTTCGATTTCAGTTTCCTGAAGGCTAATACGAGAATGGACCATTAGAAATATTAGTTTTCATTTTATTTTGTTCTTTACGAATGTAGATTCCCGAGTAGCCAAGTATGATTATAGTATAGAGTTCTATTAACTTCAATATATATTCGATCTCTCATGAGGATTAAAAATCTTGCATTTCCTCGTAACTTCCTACAAGAGTCCGAAAGCGAAAACATTTTTTTTTGCCATTTTCAGAAGATCTGTAGGACACAATGAACTTATTATTAATAGATACAAAACTTATTCACTCAAAAAATATTTATTGTGAATTCATATGATTCTCTGCCCTGAGGAATCAAATAATTAGCACTTTTTAAGGCATTGATTGGCTGATTTGACTTTGACGCACTTCAATTTCGAGAATGATCATCTTATCCAACAGGGCTCTTTGTAATATTTGTTTATCATTTGAAGAGTTAATCTCGTTTTATTTTTACCTTTTCAGCTTCTTCGAAAGCTTTTCGTAAATTTGATTCTGATTCACCAACTACTTTCGACATAATTTCCGGTCCATTGATTAAAAAGAAGAATGCACCTGTTTCATTGGCTACAGCACGTGCAATTAAAGTTTTACCTAAATTATATAATTCATAATTAGTTTTGTTGACATTAAAATTTTATTGTTTTTTATTTGATCATACCTGTGCCCGGCGGTCCATAGAGAAGGATTCCACGCGGTGGTTTAACACCAATAGTTTTAAATAATGGTGGATGTCTTAATGGTAATTCAACTATTTCTTTAATTTGTGCTAATTGTTTTCTACAACCACCAATATCATCATAACCAATTTCATTTAAAGATGCTTCTTCTTCTTTACGTTTTATTGGATCACCTTCACAATGTATAGCTGTATCTGGTGCAACAATACAATATGGTGCTGGATCAGTTTCAATTACTTTAAATTCTACAGCACGCATAGCTGCACGTACAATAAAAACATCACCTTTTTTAACTGGTCGATATGCTTCAACAAAATACGGTTTTAAATAAACTTCAAATAAGTTTCTTGTTATGCCTTGAACAGTATCATCAATAGGTAAAACATGTATACGTTTACCATATTTAACATCTTGACATGCTTGAATTGAAACAATATCACCGGATCGTACACGTAAATTATTTCGTACAACACGATTCATTCGTATATGATCATTTGGACAAGTATCATCAGCTAGGACAATACATATTGTTTCACGACGTTTTTACCTTTAAGTAAAACAGGATCACCACGAAATAATAGTAATTCATCCATTTTTTGTTGTGATAATGCAACAACACTATTATCATCATTGACAGCATCATCAATAATTAAACGATTTGGACGTTTTTCTTGATCTAATATTGCTGTTGCCAATCTATCGTTCTTAGGATCAGCAGGTCTAGCCATTTATGTTCGGTTTTTTTTAACGAAATGAAAAACTTTATATGAAATCTAGAAATATAAAATCTATGTATAAATGAATAGCGATAGAGGAAATATCGTTAAATAATATTTTTATGACTATTTAGTTGATGTTAATGAAATATGATATTTTTTTATTTTATTATGCTCGTGAATGTAACGCTCGGAAGTGCTTACATAAGAAAAATAGAAATATATATGTATAAGCGAAAAGCTGCATCATTAAAGCAAAGCGTTACAATTTGTGCCAACAATATATTATGCTGCGTACCAATTTTTGCTTGTAGGGATATTTACGGAGTAAATAAATGAAAACTCGAATAAAAAAGTGTGAAAAGGAAGAGAGAGAGAGAGAAGTACTGATAATAAGCGGCAGCGGAGATACGTGAGTATAGCGAACAGCTAGAAAAAAAGAAAAAAGAAGAACAAGCTAAAAGAACCGAAAGTGAATAACTAAAAAGAAGAGAAAAAGAGAGAAAAAAAAAGAGGAAGAAAATTGCGTAAAGACTACATTACATTCATGCGTCTTTCTGTGATGTTAATTCGTATCAACAAAGTACAACCACTTAAAAAGGAACGATTCGTGTCGATCTTTCAATTGTCGCACACGACGTGTGCGAATAAATTGACCAAGGTGATCGTTTTTCCTTTTACAAAAATGATCCCAACCAAATATATCTTCATAGAAGAAAGAAGAACCAAGATCAGTTGTGAACATAGTTTTTAATCTTCGTTGAATATATTTTTTAACATAAAATTGTAAGGGCTGTTCAGAAGTGACTTTAAACAGATTATTCGCAGAAACGAAGGGACAGCGATGCACCAACCGAAGTCCTACACGGAATTTTTGTTCCAATACATGCTGTAGAGATTCTGGGAGGAGAGGAAAAAGCGGGAATAACCACGCGAAATGCGGGAAAGTGTACGCGAAGAAACATTGACGAAGAGCTTTACGTGACATTTTTCGACCGGACATCATCCATTTCAGTTTTCCTAGCGATCTCTGAATAAATCCTATGGTTTTATCGACTGTCGGTTTCAACGAAAGTTTATCCGTCCAAGTAAACCCTAGGTATTTGAATTCTTTGACTAACTCGATTTTATTTCCGTTTATTGTTACGTTTACTATAGGTCTTTTAACTTGTGTATGAAATAGTTGTACTACAGTTTTTGAAACATTTAACGGCTGTTTCCACTTTTTTGAGTACATAAAAACCTGATTACAAACTCGTGACCCTTCTTTTTCTAAGAAGTCAATCATCGGGCCTAATTTTTTTCATTATTGGAGGTTTAATTAATACACACAGATCATCTGCAAATAGATGACATGAATGAGCTCCTAGATAATTTGTCAGATCTGAGTGAAACACTATAAATAAATACGGACTAAGACTACTACCCTGCGGCAGTCCTATATTTCTATTAAAAATTTTCGAAGTTATTTCACCATATTCTACGTAAGCTTTTCTATCTTTTAACCAACTACTAGTCATTTTCAATAAGTTTAGAGGCATACCCATTTTTTCTAGTTTACAAAGAAGAGCGGCATGCCAAACACGATCATAAGCCTTTTGGTAATCGACATAGAGGGCAAGTGTCGGAAT